TTTAAAAGATGTTTCAAATTACAGCTACACATCGGTGTAAGATGTGTCAAAATTCTTATGGCGGTTTGAGATGCATAGTCTATCACAAATTAACAGAACGAGTAATCACAATTTCTACTGAACGAACAATTTTGTTCAAGATTGCAAAATCATAAAAAGTTCTTTTTGATTTGTTGTACAACTTAACATAGCTTCTCCTTAAAGATTTTCTTTAGACTCTTTTATGATGTTTGATCTTTGTATTAAGTCTTTGTTGTAACGTTGTGTCCGAAATATAATGCTATTCATTCATGAATTGTAACTTGACTCTGTTTTCCAGGACAAGAAGAGGTATGAAGACTTGAGGTTACAGTATGCTGCAGTTCCAGTCATCAAGTAATTTATTTAGGTAAGAATGATTTCCTAAATTTGATACATTTTGATAATATCGCATTTATAAATTCTAAATGTAGTAATCAAGTGAGTGGAATAGTATAATTTTATTTCTTTAGTCCGTTCACAAAATTTAAATGGTTTAAGGGAAAGGTTCACCACTTTTTTGGCTTTGTGTATCATCAGCTAATCAGCTGATAGCTGTTGTTTCAAGGTTAGGGGGAGGGGCTGGAATCACTTCCGATTAAATCGCCTCAATAATGTGAACGGAAAATAGTACCAAAATTGTTTCATGAACACATGTAAAATTTTCTTCTGATGTGCTTTGGTTTAATGGTATAGTGCTCATAATAAATAAATAGTTAGGGACATTATTTTGATTATTGATGGGTACGATTATACTTTTAGTTTGGACTGGGACAGAAAGGAATTTTCTTAAATCTGTAGAAGAGTTAGATTTTTGTGTAAATAGATAACAAGTTAGAAACAGGCACATATAAATCAATATAAATCTTAAAGGGTCCAAACCCAAAGGTTAGGAGTTATTTCGTGGTACTATAAACCTGATTCAATATGGGCGTTAAGCTGTGGAAAATACATTTTCTGCGTGATAAAAAAAAATCTGTGTTTAACAAATACAAATTATTCATTGATTTTGAAACTCCCGAATGTGAAAAAATTTTCTCATAAACCATTTACTCTGTTATTGCATTCAGCTTCCTTCAATAAGAAAAAATTAAGAAAAATAAGAAAAAACTTAAAAGCAATGAAGGCAAGATGTTGCAAAAAAAAAACAAAAGCCAAACAAGTTAACCCTGTAACAACAGTATTCTCCTATAACTTGTTAAATAAAAATGGAAAACATTTTTAGTTTTGGTAATAATAGGTTTAGATGTCTTTGAACTCAAATCAAAACATTGTTTGGCCCTCTTCAGTTTGAGTGGAAAAGTAGTAACTCTCCAGATCGGCCCATGACAAACAACGGAAACACTTAACACTCTGTTGCAATCTCAGTCTTATCAGATAAGTCTGTTTATGGTGTCATTCTATGACTTGGTCTGCTATCACCAGGTTTGTCTGTTGATGAGTACGGATTTGCGATGTTTACAACATACTTCACATTCTTAGTTGTTTTATGGCAAAGCAACACACGAGCTATGCATTCTATACCAAATGTAGGATGAGAAAACCTTTATTCATTTACTTATAGTTCCACTTAAAGTTGACTTAAATTGTAAATTGCCAATTTATTAGGTTTTAAAGGTAGTATGTGATGTCACAAAAAGTTGTGTTGTTAACACTTAATCTTTTGACTGATTTCCATTTCTAATATTGAATGACACATAAAAGCAATAACAATTTGATCAAATTTGGTGTGTACACCTGAAATAAATCTACAGTTGCAGTTATATTAAGTTGTAATACATTAAAACACCTTTTAATCACATTCCTTTTAACAACTTAACTCGTATTAGCCCTACAAATTTAAATAAACTTTAAAATAAGCTTGACAACGGAAACTGTCCATCGTAGCGCAAGTAGTTGGCTTGTCCAACAGAATGTGAAAGAGAGACAACACATATCTCATACTGTAATAAAAACCAAGTTTAGAATAAACAACCGTTGATTATTAAGAAATATAATTTGATATGTATAAATTGCAGTTTTAAGTATTTGCAATTACATTTTAAATTAGAACAAAGTTGTAATTTTCAAACTTTTTACAACTAAACCCATTTTAAAACGTTTTTATTAGCTCGCTTTCTTGTCCAGTACAAACTTTGCAATCAATTTTATACTAACTTTCCGATGAGCTAGAGACTTGAAACTTGAAACATAGCTCACAAATGGAAGACAACGCAATATTATATAATTTAATTTTCATATTTCCCTTGGGCTACGCCCCATGGGCTTGTTTTTATTTACTCACTTTCTTGCAAATTTTGATACTTCCCGATGAGCTAGAGACTTGAAACTTGAAACATAGCTCACAAATGGATGACAATGCAATATTTTATCATTTAATTTTCATATTTCCCTTGGGCTACGCCCCATGGGCTTGTTTTTATTAGCTCGCTTTCCTGCAAATTTTGATATCAATTTTAAACGAAGTTCCCGATGAGCTAGAGACTTGAAACATAGCTCACAAATGGATGACAATGCAATATTATATAACTTAATTTTCATATTTCCCTTGGGCTACGCCCCATGGGCTTCCAAATTTTTCATGTTTACATTTTGAAAGAATGTAAATAAATCAATTAATTTAAGTCAGCTGTAAATACTTAAATTTGACAGTTCGAAGAGCAGAGGTTAAGAGGTAGGCCTACAAGTTCTGCTTCCGAGATATTCTAGAAATATAACACAAGCATTTCAAAATAAAGATAAAACATCTGATTACAAATAATAAGGTTTTGGTTATGTATTAACAGGCCATATAAAATAGATTTAACCACATTAAAGACTAAAAAGTAGACAATAATTTATAAATAAAAGCACTTTTTAAGAATGCCACGTTTTTAAACGCACTAAAAATTAGACAATAATTTATAAATATGTTGAGAGAATAAATACTTGTAAGATTTAAAACGAAAAACGTGGGACGCATGCGTTAGATCATAATAGTTCAATAGGTGAAGTTAATTGTAAATTAGCATGCGCTCCACATTTTTCGTTTTAAATCTTACAAGTATTTATTCTCTCAACATATTTATAAATTATTGTCTACTTTTTAGTGCGTTTAAAAACGTGGCATTCTTAAAAAGTATTTTTATTTATAAATTATTACTGTTAAAAATGTATGCTCGGAAATATAAATGTGTATTTTGGTCAAAGTTAAACTTAATGTACCGATATTTAATAAATGTTTTACGTTTTTACTTTACTACACAGATAATTTTATTAACGATCAAAAGTAAACAAAATGTAACAAACCATGTTGTTGTTATATTGGAGATGCGCATGCAACTTGTAAAATGTCTATTTTCAATTTATGATTCAAATCAATCTCGGCAGGGGGCACAACTACCTCTTGGGCCCATAGCACCATCACATACTAGCCGCGGGCCTGGGCTACCATAGACCACTCAGTCATTGTTCGGAACTCATTGTCTCGTACTATCAGCAGTTAGGAAACTGGAATTGTTAAGTGAAGAATTGATTGACCAGTGCTGGTCAATCAGAACCACAAGCGTAGTAATTCCTAGCTTGACTTCAAGACTAATAAATTAAGGAACGGCTAATTCCTGACAAAGTACACGGATAAGTTCTCTAGCAGTGTTGATTTATTTGTTTATGATTCAGAAAGGATTCTTATTAGTGTATTTTAAATTGCAATATGTAGATAAAAAACTATACCTATGTCCGGTATTTTTGGAATATCTAATTCCTAAATTTTGGCTTATGTTTCAGATTGGTGATCCTGCTGCGTAAAACTGCAAGAAGTATAATCTTCATTCCTGTTGTTGCTGATCCTGTCATATGTTTTAACTTATATGTTTAGTCCTAGTGTTTTATTTACATTGTAGAATTTTATTTTGAGATCAAGCATCTGATTAAATTGTTTTACCTCAAGATACATTTTAATAAACCTAATCGTACCATGACTGTGTTTTCTTCATTTATTTAAAGTGTATTTTAAAAACATTGATTTTTTTCTCTAAGGAAGAGTCTAAACCCTGGTCTTTAAATGTGGACCTTTTGTTAGAAATCATCGTTTATTGTAATCCCATTGCAAAATGTAATCTGCGTTCAGACTCACTTCTACTTGTGATTGAAACCAGCAACATTTAGATTTAAAGGAAAATGCTTTAGCTAGGGGACCCGGAAGGTCCTATGCTACGCATGTTAAATTCTAGATTTTGGTGCAAACTTTTCTCAGAAAGTACTATAGCTAAAGTAATGCAATTTCTACCACATGTTCTATACTTATTACCCAACACTTTAACAAGGGTATTTAATTATTTATTTATTTTTAACAAAGTTGTGAATTTGTTATAGATATATTATTTTTTCTATGTTTTTTGTCAATAATTTTTTTTTTATTTCCTAAAAAACTGTTAAACATGATCAAGCAAACTACAACAGTTTACTTATTCTCCATAAGAATAACATGGGTATTTTAAATTTACAATTTTTTACACTTTATCCAAAACCAATAACCGTACAAAACACTTCAATATACTAAATTATTTGTTTTTTAAGCTCTTCAAAGTGGTCTATAGAGAAATTGGGAAATTTTATGTTTTAGGGTTAAAAACGAGAAAAACCGATTTTTACCCCATAAATCCCCCCATAAACCATATTCCCTGAATGGGAAATTCGCTAAAAGAAAGTCATCATAATATTTTGTAGCTTATATTGTTATAAACTAAACGCAGTTGTTATTTTACCTCCATCTGCCTTTGTTTAGCAATAGCATCAATTGCTTCATGAATGACATGTTTTACCATAATTCTTCAATTTTAGTCAAGGCTCTTCACTTGTAGCTAACTATATAAATAACAAAATGAAACTTTGAGCAATGCTTTACAAAATGTCTACAACCTCACTTTAAAACCAAACATAACCCTCCTCAATTTACATAAAGCGTCACAAACATCATTTTCGAGTAAATAAACAAACACCAGTTCATTGTACTGACCAGCTGTTTCATTAACTAAATTAAATCAAATCATTTAAACATTGTGATGTGAGAAAGAAAGAAAAACTAGACTATTCTATTACAGCGGGTGTCAGACTCCAATCAGATACGAGAATCGCGTCACGTGACTTGTATCTGGCTCAGTATTGGTGGAGGTTTCATACACTGGTTGTCGGGATAGAGACGAACCACGAACCTAGAAGGACGATTTCCCTCTTCTTCGTCTAGCATCGCTCGCCATCCACCTTGCCATTAACAGTCTACAGCCGAGTTGATCCTTGATTTCTTAATTTGTTTAGTACAATAGTAAAAGCAATGTTCATAAGTAGTTATCATAGATTTAAATTGATTAGTGGTGAGCAATGGAAATTGATTTTCTTCCAGTCTACAGGACTACAACTAACGACAGCTAGATCTGCCATCTTCATCTTCACTTGTTCGAGAATCAGCCATCTACCAACGGCAACCATGCTATGTCACAAAGTTCCTAGCTTTAACAAAATAAGATAAGTGGTCACTGTTCAGGTTAATTAGACATTAAGATTCTACTTATGTAAATTTCAGGTATCAAAAATTGTTCAGCAAGATAAAAAGAAGACCTTAACATTAAATTTGTAAATATTTTTCAGTTGCCTCTTTTATTAAATAAAACAAGCTTCTTTTGTTTGAATAAATTTTAGTTAGGGGCTATTTAGGACAGAGTAGGCCTAAAGATAGGTATAGCTACTTAGCCTCATTAGAATGACAAATATAAGAACATCTATTCTAAATAGTAGGAAGGAATAGGATAAAAATCAGCTTTATATGTCACAGTGCCGCAATTCCTTCCATGGTGTGTGTTAAGGCACGACAAAATGAAATCAAATAATTTATCTTTACTAAAGCAACAAGATATTAAAACACACATTACAAGATACTGTAAGTGGGCATCTAATTTATGAGAACCAGATGAATCATTAATTTTGGATACTGCAAGTAGATTTCTTATTTATGTGAAGCAGATGTACCATAGGCTTTAGATACTGCAAATAGAGATCTCATTTACGAGAAACAAATTAAGCATTGACTTTGGAATCTTTAGATACTGCAACTAGACATCCCATTTATGTGAAGCAGATGTACCAATGACTTTGATACTGTAAGGAGACGTCTTATTTACGTAAACTAATTTTTGCATTGAGTATACAAAACTGCAAGAGTGTACAATACCATTTACATTAACCAAATGAAGCATTGACTTTGGAAAAGTATTGAATAAATATGCTAGCTCCGCCCAATATTGCAAGCAGACAACTGCATTGTATACCTAGTTTTTTAAAAATTAGTTCCGTTTTGAAATAACTCTTGTAATACTTAGCAATTGCTCGATTTCAAGCAACGGGTACACTAGTTGTATAGGGTAATGAAATTTCAATATTCTTTATTGCATTACTCAGTTTTTACAGCAACATATGTACAGAATCAATTTTTTCATATATTGACTTGTTCTAACAGTATTTATATTTAACAAGATGAAAGTTTTTATATACTTACACAAATGTGCATTAGGTTCAGTATCAAAATTGTTGACCAATAGTTTAATCAATGACTACTATGTCTTTACAGTTTTTCAAAAGTTTGTTTGTTTCCTCAACAGTTTCTTCTATATCTCTATCATCATCAGTGATATTTATTTCTAATGTTTCTAGTTCGCTTTGCTCATGGGAAGGATTTACACTACAACCAGATACTATTTTGTTCAATGTCTCAGAAACTTCTGAAATAGTGATTTCTTTTTGAATATTTTCAACATTCTTGGTTGTAGTTATTAAACTTGAATTGTGCTCAACCGGCTCTGTAGCATTCTTGTTAGAATCTAACTCATTGCTTAAGATATGATTATTTGATGCCAGTTCATTTATAGCTTCTTTGGTGTGTAATGATTGAGATTCACAATATTCTGAACTACTTCTATTGTGACAAAGATTGTTGGATCCATCTGCATTTGTTTGATCATTTACATATATTGAATCCAACATAGTATTTTGTGAGAATTTTAAAATGTGTTCAATAGATTCACAACCAACTTTATCCTTTTCTTCATTGCTTGGTGAAGAATCGTTAATAACTATTAAATCAGCAAGGCTTTCATCTTTTTGATACCCATTAATATTCTTGTTCACACATTCAATACGACTTTGGTTTTCGTCAGCTGTAAGAGGTACATCAATTTCTTTCTTTTGGCAATCAGTCTTGGTTACTTCAATGACACAAGCTTCTTTATTTGTAATAAGATTGTTTACTTCATCTATACAAACTCCTGATGCAGGTTCTTGAGTATCATTTGAATGATTTTCAACTCTGGTAGAGGTAACATCTTCAACTTGGTCTGCTGTGAACGTTGGGTTTAATTCAGCCACAGAAGATGTAGGTCCTTGGTTTTCTGATAGTACGCTTGTTTGAGTAACGTCGTCAATTGCACTATCAATGTCACTTGATATTTCTTTTGGTTTTGAGAGCAACTTATACTCAACCACACTCCCTTCAATTTCTCTTTGAGGAACCGGTGACGGTATTTCTGGTTTGTCTTCAACTAGTTTTTGTTTCTGGGCCAGTTTTGCACGTTTTATTTTTTTCCTGATGTTACCACAAATTTTGCTGGTTGAGACAACTTTTTTTACTTCTTTGCTTTCCAACCACCTTTGGGCCCAACTATTTTTGTCATCTATGTCAGGAGTTTTTTCGGTCTCGTTTATTGTTTGTTTTACAACAGAGGATGAAACTACTCTTTCAGAACTAATTTCACTTTCAGCCTTTGAAAGTAGTTCATCAACTGGGATACATTCTGACACTGAACTTTTAACAACTTCTTTGTTTGTTTCTGACAAATTGTTGACTGAGACCTCTGGCGATTGATCTTTTGAGACAATATTTTGTGAGCTAGAAGGTTCTCCATTATCTACAGTTTTTTTGAAGCCTGAATGTTCATTTTCATCAGTTAGATCAATTGTCACTACCTTGGGAGTTATAACGATAACATCATCATTTTTCCGTTTCTTTTTCCTAAAGTTTTTGGCTGGAGTTACTTTTTCATTTGTATCTTCGTCCAAATGTTTTTTCGACTGCTCTTTTGACCCTCCTGGATTCTGTTTATTTTCTTCCAAAGCTGTTAAAGGTCCTTCATTTTCTGGAGGTTCATTGTTCTTCAGTAAAGCACGAATTGCCCTAGCTCTCATTTCTAGTTCTAAAATTTCCAATAAAGTTTTTCCTTCTTTGGGAGCCTCAGTTTCTTCTTCCTTTTCTGAAGCACTTTCTGCAGAACTATCGATACGGAAAACTTCTGTATCAGATGTTTTTACATGTAGTTTAACTTTTGTTCTTTTGAGCTTTTTGTCCAACTCTTTTCTTTTTAGTTTTCTCTTGGACTTTTTCTTACCTGAAACAAATTGTTGTTAAGAATTTAATATTGTTTAACTTAAGAAAACAAAAATAATATATTTTTACATACATTACAAACTTTGAAAATTGTACTAAAAATATATACAGTAAATTGAAATCATTAACAACATTACAACGGATTTGTTGATTGCATTCCAACTTCAGATAGAACGTACGTAACTACAGCCAGCTTAAAATAGAACAACCAGCTTAGTGCCATAGACATAACTGGTACAGTATACCCCTTCTTAACTGGCCTTGCATGAACCGTTTGAACATTCGGAAAATCACTGTCCTTGTTCGAGAAATTAATTGAATCTGGTTTCAACTATTTGTTTTTACAGTAGAACCCCGGTTAACCGAGATAAAAAGGGGAGAGCGGTTTCTGATAACCAATTTTTCGGTTAATCCATCATATGCTAAAAATATCCAATGTATCACCACAGTGTGTAGGAAAAATGAATTTAAGAGAATGAGTATTCATAATGTTCACAAATCTTGTAACAAGAGTAAAGCTATGTGGGGAGTTGTTAAAAAAGAACTGGGCATTCAAGTAAAAACGGAGACTACTACTAAAATTGATGTTGGGGATAGGGTGATAAATGAACCCAAAGAAATTGCAGAATATCTTAATGTTCAATTTTCCAACATAAAGGAAATATTAAATGTGCCAAATGTCTCTTTCATCAATAACAAGTACATCAGTCAAAACTCTTTAGAATCAGACAATACAGATAAATTACAGTTTTTTGCTTTTACCAACAAATTTGAAGTTAAAAATGCTATCTTAAGTTTAAGTAATAGTAATTCTTGTGGTTGGGATGAGATTCCCACTAAGTTATTGAAATGGACTGCTGACATTATTTCTGATATTATAGCTAGACTCATCAATCAATCATTTGGTGAGGGTGAATTTCCAGACTTGCTAAAATTGTCTGAAATCAGACCAATTTTAAAAAAAGGCACACATAATAATAGTCAAAATTACAGACCAATCTCTTTACTCAGTAATGTATCTAAAATTTTTGAAAAAATTATTCATCTTAGAATTGCAAATTACCTGGAATGTAACTCAAAACTGTGTCAAGAGCAGTTTGGTTTTAGAAGAAATCTAAGCACACATAATGCTCTTTTTACTTATATTAGTAGTGTCCTTGAAGCTCTGGATCAGTCACAGTTGACTGCAGGAGTTTTCTGTGACTTATCCAGGGCTTTTGACTGTGTGGACCACAGGTTGCTGCTGATCAAATTGAAGAATATTGGCTTGGAGGGAATGGCACTAGAATTATTACGATCATACCTAATCAATCGAAAGCAGCGCACAATAGTAATAAAAAAATCAATAAAATATTATTCTAACTGGGCCAGCGTTACATATGGTGTTCCCCAAGGTTCCATACTTGGGCCTTTATTATTTATTATATTTATTAATGACTTGCCTAATTGCCTTTCCACAAATTCCTGTGCTTTCACTTTGTATGCCGATGACACAACTGCTCTTTTAAAAAGAAAAACACTAAGTGAACTTAAATTAACTTTTGACAGCACAATTAAACAAATCAATGAATGGTTTGAGAGCCATGGCCTGAAATTAAATGAATGTAAAACTAACATTTTTCAATTTAAACTCAGAAACAGAGTTACAGACACCACAATCAGTAATACAAAAATTGTTAAGTTTTTAGGTCTAAATTTAGACTCAAAATTAAGATGGTCTGATCACATTCATCATCTAAATAAAAAATTAAGGTCAACAAGGTATTCACTAAGTGTACTATCCAAGGTCACGCCGCTAGAAGTCTGCTTGACAGTATATCATGCGTATGTTCATTCTTTGCTGGCTTATGGCGTCACTCTATGGGGTAACTCTGCAGAGGCCAAGAAAGTGTTCACTTGCCAAAAGTCAATTCTCAGAACTATTTTTCACCAGAAGTCTAAAAAAAGCTGTAAACCTTTTTTCAAAAAACATTCCATTTTAACATTACCTTCTCTTTATATATTTGAAATAGCAAAGTATGTTCATGCAAATCCTTTCTTTTTTGAAAAATATAAGATAAATCATAACTATCAAACGAGAAATAATAACAAAACTTTTCAATATCCCAAACATTCGCACACAAAATTTGAAACTGGGCCTCTTTACATGGGATTAAAAATCTACAATCATTTACCTAATTCATACAGAACTTTATCAAAATCAAATTTTACATATAAACTGAAAGAGACTTTGAGCCAAAAAGCGTATTACAAAATTCAGACGTTTTTTAAAGATAAATTGTAATAGTTTTTACTCTTGTCAGGGTATAATTAGATTAAGGAACCTAGATATAAATTAGATATAAATTGACCATGTACCAGCTTGGGAATTACTTTTGTAATTATTGTATCAGGCGTTATGTACAATAAAGCTTTGTCTATTGTCTATTGTCTAATAATAATTCAGTGTTTTATTTCAGCTACAAAAATGTTACAATGGGATAGAAAATACTTTAAACCTGACAACTGAAGTTATTAAAGCATTTACAGCCCTATATTATTTTATAGAACCATTTCGGTTAACCCGGGTCTCGGTAAACATGAATTCGGTTAACAAGGGTTCTACTGTAATTGATCTAATATAAGATCAAGATAGTGATAAGATAGTGTGAATGATTGCGTGTTCATTGAGGAATGAATGGGCAAAGTACAGTGGGGCCCCTTGAGCCCCGCCCTCCTTGATCGTGTACCTGCTATTTATTTTTTATTTATTTTTCTAAAAATTTATTTGCAGGTTCTCTTTGAGTTTCAAATGAATTTCTCAAACATTTATATAGAATTTATTTAAATCTAAGGAAGAATTAGCAATTATCAAGCCCAGATCTCACCTTCTGTAATCTTAGCACCGTCACTGCTGGATACTTTTAAGAAATCAAGATCAGGATCAACTAGAACTACCTCTTCAGAATTGTCAGAAATATCGGAGCACCCCTCCTGTTTTCTGTAATGAAGAAAAAGAAACCTGATAGTCAAAACGAAATGTGTTTTTTTTTTTTGTACCTCCTGGAATTTTACACAAAATGTTTCCTTAAGTTATAAGCAGAATATGTTTTCTTTTTACTGTAATACATTAGAAAGTCAATTATCCAAAAAATTGTGGATGAGGCTGATCAGATAACTGCTTTTCGGACAACCAGTCATTGACAAGAAAAACGGAGTACAATATTTTAACTTTGATTGACATGATATTTTTTTAGCAAATTCCCCTATAGAGAAGAAAATCTGGCCCTGGACTAATTTACTTCTTCATTCTGAAGTCCCCAGTGGCAAATATAAACATCAAAACTGACCTTGCACTGTTTTATCTCACTTTCAACCCTGAAACCATCCCTAGTTACTCTGCATTTGTCTACACATAACAATACTTACATTACAAATGGTTGGAGTTCCATCTTGGGTTTTTTGCCTAAAAAAATAAATTGTTTAAGACATAGATAACAGAAAACAATTCTATAAAATTAAATTCCTCATTCATTTTCAAAATGTATGAAATTTTCTAAAATACAAAAGTGTTTCCCATACTATTTTCACTAAATATTATTAATCTATACAATATTGGACGGGTAAACAGTTTTGGGAGGTTAATCTATTGTACTATTTATTAAATTCCATGTTGATGGCCCCTGGATTACTATATATGACTATAATTATGGTACAATACCTCGTCAAGTAATCCAAATGTTGATTGTCAGGTTAACAACCTACATGTTTCGACGCAGCATCATCAGGGTTACAAAACATAAGACATCAATGTCACACGCACACAATAAATACACAAACACGAACATTTAATTAACATTGATAGGCCTATCACAGGCACACGACACGGCGCAGGTAGTAGACTGCAGTGTCAGATTCCTTCCTCGTTGTTGTCAATGTTATCAATATGACAAAGGTCAGGTGGCCGGTTATTTTGATGAATTAGCACATTGAAAATAGAGTGTGACTGGAACTGCAGTTTTTCGTTAAGGATATGTCCACTGGTGGTGTTGTCGTCGTATGATTTGTAAATTTCAAATTCCTCTAATTAGTGTGTGGGAATATTCAATACACACGTACTTCTTACGTTCGTTCTTTTGTTTGACCTCCCTATTATGGTGTTTGATTGTAAGTTTGTCTACAAGCCCGCTATTATAGCCGTTGGATATGGCTATATGTTAGATGATATTGTTGGCTATATGTTAGATGATATTGTATTCATTACTGTAATGAAAGGTCAGAAGGGTCTGAAGTTACGAGAAAGGTTATTGATAAGGGTGACAGGTCAGGGGTGTACTTAAATGTGCTAGCTGTCCTAGTGTTTATGTGGGAAAAACGGGGCACACTTTTAAAACTAGATATAAGGAGCATCATCCAAAACCGAAAACTGACAAACAAAAATCTACATTTGCCCAACATCTGATGGACAATAATCATGACCTAAATGACCTCAACACTGGCTTGGAAATCCTTCACACATGTACAAAAGGCAATAAATTGGACACCCTGGAAGAATTTGAAATTTACAAGGCACATATAAAAAATAACAATAGCGAAAATATTTTAAATGACAAACTACTATTCAAATCACACGTAATTTTAGTAGTAGTATTTTAATAGTATTTTAAATCAGAGGAAGGATTCAAGACCAAGAGGGCAAAGTACAAATGATAATGCCGCCGCTGACACGACACCGCAAGAATGACTCCAGTCAGCTACTTGCTCGAGTGCGGATATGTGTAATCAACAGGCCTGTTAAGTAAAAAAACCCCCGTTTATGTTTATGTATGTGTACGTCGCGTGTGACCGTTTGTGTTTTTGTATATTAACGACGCCACTAAGGCTGAACGTCTGATAATGGCAAGATGCTGAAACTTCCGTAACAATGTTACAACTACTATGAGCTGATTGACGAAGGTAACCCTATTTATTGATTTAGTCACAAGATCAGCTCAGGGGATAAAAATATGGATTTTAATACAATACAATAAACAGTACGTCCACCAACCCCGCTGCCCTCCCTCCCTCACCAGGAACAGCTGATCCGGTAGTCGTGGTCAGGGGTTCGGCTCGTGTGCGCGAGAGGAATAAAGTTTTTATTCCCTGAGGAAGCGGGACGTTATTCTGGTCCCGCGAAACGTCGAAATAATCCAAGGACGATTTTTTATGTTTGTGTATATATTTGTAATTATGTATTCATAGTGTGAACAATTTGACGAGTCCTGGATAACAAATTAAGGTGAGTGAAGCCCACAAGATTGATCGGGGTACTATCCTCGGTGTATTTCTTAAGTTAGAAGTTTTTTCCTTAGTTTTAACTTTGTTAGTCAAACATGCTTAACTAAATTAAAATGAATTCAGCTCTAATGTGTCTTTTTTCTAATTATATTGTGGCCTGTCAGATGCCCTAATTTGAATGTTCGTGAGGGGAGGCATGACGGGTTAGCTACTAGCTAGTTTATATTATGAAATCATATTTCTGTTAAATTGTTTCAGAATCTCAAATAAACACTAGAAAGATATAAAATGCTTCTACAACTTACTTGGTGTTGAATCATCAGAGTGAGTTTCAGAGTCAGAAGAAGAATTAATTTCCTTCCCTGAAAAATATAATATGCAGTTTTTCAATACTTATAATCAGTCCTACATTACCTTTTTAACCGACTTCCTTACCATCAAAAGGAAGAGGTTCTCAATTTGTTTGTGGCAATGTTTTTTTTCTAGGGATTTTCACCAATTTCCCTGTGATTCTTTTACCGATCAGCATGGTTCCACCATCAAAATCACCAGGAGAGTTTCCCTTTGGTACCATATAAAGAGTGGTAGAAAAGTCCCGGAACGGTTTAATATATTTTTTACCAATTTAGATAAAGTAATGAGACTTGGTATATCAAAAATAGCCATATATGTCTACTCTTTTAAGCTACTATAACTTTTTTATCCCTTAACGACGGCCCACAAGGAGTCAGATGAAATTCTTAAATAGCAGCATAGATCAAGTTTGGTATCTAATTAAAGGTCTTAGTTAGTAGAACACATTGCTGCAAACCCTAACTCATACAGACAATTGAGTCAAAAATGGCAGCCGTTACAATATTTCTCAAATCTGCCATTTTGAATTTTTGAGCTTCTGCCATTTTTTACTCAGTCTATTGAGCTCAAATTTGTGGCATTGTATTCTACTATTTAAGACCTTTAATTTGATGTGCATATCGACATGTGCTGATGTTAATGATTTCCTTCTGAATTCTCGCAGTCTCCCCTTTGAGGAGGTAGCGTATAATAGCAATGCAAATTCGATGAATCTTTGAACAGCTATTATTTTTGACTCAGTTGTCCTTTTTAGTTCGGGTTTGCAGCATATGTGTTCTACTAAATAAGACCTTTAATTTGATAACAAACTCGACCTATGCTACTATTTAGGAATTTTGTCTGACTCCTAGTGGGCCATTCTCCTTAAGGGATAAAAAAGTGATAATAGCTTAAAAAAGAGTAGAAATTTATGGCTATTATTGATATACCAAGTCTCATTACTTTAATCCGTTCCAGGACTTATCTTCCACACTGTAAAACATTATGTATATATAAAAATAAACTCAGGAATTTATGCCTTAAAAAGATTTTATTATCTTTGTATTTAGAAAGTTCTAAAAAATCAGAAAAATGTTTTTCATGCCCATGTGCAATTCCATATATCTTATGGAGTTTGTGTGTATGGAGGTACAACCAAACAAAACCTTTGTGAAATTTTAATTAGTCAAAAAAGAGCTATAAGAGCCATGTTAAATCTCGAGTTTGATGAATCCGTAAGAGAGCATTTTACTAACCAAAATATATTAACCGTCTACAGTTTGTATATCCTTGAGTGAATTATGCATGTCAGAAAAAATAAAGCCAATTTTACAACACATGAAGATATCCACAACTACAACACCAGAAATATACAAAAAATAGTCTTACCTTTTCAAAATTCTGAGCTATATAAAAAGAAACCATCCTATGCCGGTTCTGTATTTTTTAAAACATATTCCATAAGAAATATTGAACATAGAAAATCAAAACAAGTTCAAAAGTGAACTCAACAGTTTTTTGATCAGAAATGCACTTTACTCTCTTGAAGAGTTGTACAATTTAACTTATGTGAGTGATGTGAATGCTGATGCTACATAACTGTCAGTTTCATAACTGAACAATTCAATGCAATGTACTGAGTTAGCTTATTGGATTGGAATTTGAATTATGTTTAGGTGTAATATTTGTTTCGGTGAAAAATGCTGAAAACCTTAAATATTCAACATTTATTTTGCTTATATTTGTGCAGAGAAGGCAATAAATTATAATAATATTCCTAAAGCTGTTAGTTAAAACCACAAATACTAGAAAAGGCCCGGTATGGATCATAAACATAAACAAATTACGTTGTTGGCCCGAAAGTAAACAAAATCATATGTTAATAATGCAATTAGTATATGGGTTTCGTTTACTTTCAGGCCAAAAACGCTATTTGTGTATGTTTATGATGCATATCCGGTATTTTTCTAGTATTCGTGGTTGAAACCGTTCAAATGAAGCTACAGACAGTTCTTCATGAAACAGCTGCTTTATATTGATTAATTAACAATTCCTTGCCATGGAGCATAAATACATTATTTTGCAAAGAAATTTTTGTTTTAGTTACTATAAGAAAGGCATTTCAACGTTTGGATATTATGGTTAAGGATATTATGATAGGTAAAAGAAGCTAGGTTAATATTTAAACGTTACTTTTCCTAATAAAAAACAATTAAACACATTACCCTTTTTTAAAAAGATAGGCCTACTCGTTAATACCAATGAGATAATAATTTATTATTTATTTAAAAAAAACTTTATGAAGGTATGTCGATGATGGGTTACAATGATACAACTCTCAACGCATAACTCAGAAAAAAACCAAGAAGATTAACACCTATAGTTATAGATAATCGCCTGTGTTGTGGACATCCTCTTGAAATTTGAGTATGTTGTGCTAAAATTTAAACCCTTTAGAAATTTCAATATTAAACTCGACAACTTCTGGGTCCACAAATTGTTGAGTTAGAGAGGTTTTACTGTAATACTTACCCTCTAATATAGCTTTGATTCTCTTCTTAGACATTCCAAGAAGGTGGATCAAACAGTCAGCTTTAAGCTCATCAAAGGGCAAGTCCTAGAAAAATAAATATTTTTGTCAATTATTTAAAATAATTGAAAATTATTTTCTGAACTTTTTCTTAACAGCAGTTGCCAACTAAGCTATGTGCCACAGTGGACAATTCCTGTGTTCTTGCTGATTTTTCAATTTATTTGAATTATTCATTTAGAACTCAAAAGTTTTCCAGATGATACTACTGCTTTTGTCAAGGGAAACTTCAAAAAACTCCGAGGAAGATGTTTGTGAATGGTTTACAACTAATGGTCTGGCACTAACAGTGATAAAGCACACTTAATATAAAAAAAATCTTTGGCAGATAATATTTCACAACAAAAATTTCTCCGAGTAACCATTGACCATAAATTTAATTGGGACGAACAGGGGTGCCCTATTGCACCTATGGGGGAATGAAATGAAATGAAATGTGTTTATTGCCTTGTGAATTTACACAAATTATTGACAATGTCATAATAGTGCTAAAATTGGCATAGTCAGTTAATGAGTACAATATAGCTAACTACACACAAAGAGACATGTTAAAATACATATTTCAATATTACAACCAAATAATCTTATTGTTAAGAGAAATTCAAAGCAAATGGAATTTAATGGAAGTTATTGAACACCATAACCAACTAACACTCAGGTCGTAGAAAGTGGCCTAAGCAAGTGACTTCCTCTCAAAGACCATTAGTACCTCATTAATCAATTTATCTATTGCGTCTGATGTACACTTGCCCTTTCTAAATCCAAATTGTGAAACACTTAAAAAGTTGTTTCTTTCAAAAAAAGATTTCAGCTGATCAAAAACCATGATTTCAAACAATTTTGATACTACAGGAATGATTTGATATAGGGCAATAACTTTCTGAAATGTCTTTTTTACCTTTTTTAAAAATGGGACAGTCTCTGGTGACCTTTCATCTGGAAAGACACCTTCAAGGAGACGGAGATTAAATCAGTAAAATAGAGGTTCAGCTAGATTAAACCAATAATCTGTTTAAGCAAACTATTAGACATAAGATAAACATCAGTACTGCTAGAGTTTTTTAGTTATTTGTGGCTTTTATTAGTTAATTTTATATCAGCCTTGACACCTTTAATATTTTTTTTTTTTACTATAGGTAAGATTCACTTACTTTTGCCTGAAGGTGTCAGATGTTAACATATGCTGTACATGTTTCGAGCTACTTACAGCTCATCTTCAGCAGCATTCTTGAATTAAAAAAATCACATCAGACGATGTTTGTCGACTATTTACAGTTTATATATACACACACGAACACACGGAAATATATACAAAGAACATACACGCGTTTTGCAGTTGTGAATTGCGTTTTCTTTGTATATATTTCCGTGTGTTTGTGTGTGTATATATAAACTGTAAATAGTCAACAAACATCGTCTGATGTGATTTTTTTAATTCAAGAATGCTGCTGAAGATGAGCTGTAAGTAGCTCGAAACATGTACAGCATATGTTAACATCTGACACCTTCAGGCAAAAGTAAGTGAATCTTACCTATAGTAAAAAAAAACCTTTTATTAGATCATTAGGTGTGATAAAATTCCAGAAAAAAGGCATAGGAGTAATGGAAGACTTATTAACTAAATCTTTTGAACTGTAAGCATTACTAACAATTTTCATTTTTATGTTTTCAATTGATTCAATAAAAAAGGTACGGTACTGAAAATATCAGGACATATTTTGGGTTTTTTGTATTGATTAAAGAAATGTCACTGGTTTTAATGACTTGCCAAGCAGTTTTACATTCGTTATTACTTTTTTCTATGAGATTTGTGTTATATTCTATTTTGGCCTTCTTAACAGGACATATTTTCAATTTGGGAAACCTTAAACTTTTGAAACAAATTATAAAACCTCAACATCTTAATGCATGGGAATCTTATTTTATAGAAAAAACAGACCAAAATTATTTGTTGAATAAAATGAAGACGGCCCAATTATTAACTCAGAATTACTTAAAATAATTACATCAAGAACAACACTGTAATATATCCAAATTTCAAAAGATTTTTTTCATAAATTTTTCCAATATCCATTGCATCATCTGTTTTAACTTTACTTTAAATTAATTACAGTATTGTAAATATTTACTTTTTGTACCAGTTTGATCACAGCCTGAAGATGGAAACATAGTTTCCAAAAGCGCTTGTGACAAAAAAAAAATAAATTATTATGTATTGGCCTTTTTGAACTTTTAAAATTAGTTATACATTTCATCATTCATTGCCAATATCTCCAATATAAGTTATATCTGATGGAAGTTATTAGTTAGTTGAAAAACTAACTGATAGAAAATAAAGTTAGTTTTTGTAAAAGTAGGCCTAGCTATTTGTTGGGCAGTTGTTTTAAAGGATTTCCTATGCAATGAAATAATGACACATCTTGATAACAAATCTATACTATAATATGAGTAAAGTTTGCGCACAATGATTCAAAAAACGGCTCCTACAATTTCCACCAAATTGTTAGAAATATCTTAGTTTTAGGCTAAAAACAATATCCATGCCAGGCTCTGTTCTGGGAAAATTCATTTTTCATTAAAACTTAAAAACTTATTTTAATATTTTTAACATTTAGTCTTATGGACTGTCAAGTAGCTATGGCAGTGTTACGAAAATGCAAACAAATGGATTGTCACATACGCTTGTAAAATCATCTACAGTACAGTAGCAAATTACAAAATACAGTACAAAGGAAAAGGAAAGCTATGAATTCTATGAATGCTATTGAGAATTGCTTATATGGATTGCATAATACATTTGGATTGTATGGTGTATTACTAACCAAAGGGATAATTACGACTGTTCAAAAACATTAAGTATTTTACAGCAAAACATTATACACTGATATTGAACTAAAAGTCTAAAGGAAAGGCCAAGGACGTTTTGTAGTTACTACAATTACCCATCACGTAATTAATTATTGTTGCAATGTTCCGCGATCCCAGTGACTAACACAATAACGGTCAACAGATAACGGATGTTTTGTATCATATCATGAGTTTTATATTGAAGATTATTGTAGAAACTTTATAAATTGCTCGTCCACATGAAAAAGTTTGTTAGGTAAATTAAGGATGAGTGGATGTCTACCGAAAACAAATTGACTTTACAACTTAATTTATCGTAGTAAAACTGAAAATATTTGTAGGCTTCTTAAAAGTTCTACTTTTTTAACTCTTGAACAAATTAAATACCTCGAGCAATGCTCAGTCCCCTAGTACTTGTGTTTAATCAAACATTGTCACATTTTAAATCATTACAATAGAAACAAATGACTTAAAACTTGTCACTGTCAGATAATGAACATCAACTGAGGACAATGTTTTGACACTTATAATAACTTGAGTGTATAAACATTCCCCCTTCCCGCCCCTCCCTGCTTGGGGTGTTATTATTGGCTGTCACTGCCCTTCAACGGGCCCACTGCATACCAAAGCAACTGGACTTTGACTTTCTCTTTCCCCACCCCCGCGTTTTTTTGTCAACAAGGGCGCTGACCCCTCACGGCCACACGCAACCCTCATTGATCACATAAACTTTAGCATATAAACTGATTACAGCAACTTAGTGGAATGATAGTAGTCGGCATTCAATCAACATAAAGTCTCTTGTAAATAGTGTGGTAGGTCTAAATTTCAGTTCTAAATAATTTAAAGTTTCTCAAACAATAGTGTTGGACTAATGTTTTACTTTCAATAACATCAAACACACAATCATTTTTATCTAGCTCTAATTATTTTTCTCAGTGTAGGCTTACATTATATTAAAATTAAAAACAAATTTATAGTAATAAATAATTTATAGCCAATTAATTTTATTAAAGATAGGTGGGTCCCAAAAAAACTCAAGGTGGTAGTTGGTCGCCAGACCAAAAAGTTAGTAGGCCTAAACTACTGATCTATCTATAGCTTAAAAATATCTACCATTCAACTCACCCGTAGTATGGGTGGCAGCATTTTCTTCAGTTTTGCTCCTTTTATAATAGAAAACATCTGTTCAATCATTTCTTCTCTGTTGTTAATATAATATCCCAAGGGATAAAGTTCCTTGGATAGATCAACTTGTTCAGTCTCCGAGTCACTATTTGGACTGATTCCCAGTTTTGCCTGAAACAATGATTGAATAGGAACTATTGAATAATTGAACTATAGGAATGGTTGGAACTTGATTGGAACTACCACGTTAATAAAAAAATGTACCAAGGTTATGCACACCTTGCAAAGCTTTTCCCTTTGGTCAATAGGAAATCTACTCTGAAGCCAGCTTGTACAGTTCTAATCTACAAGTCAATAATTCGGCCTTTGATTATGTATGCATCTCCTCTCTGGGAATTATCTATATAAAAAAATAAACTCTTCAAAATTCAAGTGGTCCAAAACAAAATTCTAAGAATAACGGTGAATGCTCCCTGGTTTGTTAGAAACAGGCATATACATGAAGAGCTAGGAGTGGAGTCTATCTCGGCCTATATTGAAAAAACCACCTACAAATTTCTGAAGTCTTTAAACAATGTTCCTGGTGCACTAGCTTTTCATCTTGGCGAAGCAACTGAGAACAGGAGGCTACGTCGAAGGCATCCTCAGGATCTATTGGATGAATGAAACCTAAAGAAGATTAAATATTTTTATTTAAATAATTTTGTTACAGGGTGTCTCAGGTCTGGGCAACCCCACAATGTTTTTATTGTTATATTTTCTTGATTATTTTGTTAACACTTCTGTGAATACTGTCATCATTGAACGAGAAATAAATGCTGAAAACCAAAAAAGTGCCTGAAACAATGATTGAATAGGTTATCTGTATTATCTAACATAGGAGTATTGATTAACACTCTACTACCAACTATGGTGAATCCATCACATAATTTGTGACTTCATTCTTCAACACTTTAACGCGAGCGCTAGTGTGCTTATAGCGGCTAATGGTGCATGAGGGATCAGCAGATCAATTAGCTACGGCGTTGCACTGATGAGTAAAGTGTTGAGGTCTTTCTACATCTTAATTTAAATAATAAGTGGCTTAGCTGGTGTGGAAAGGCCACCTTAAATAAACGGTGGGTACTTTCCTGTTAAAGGGAACATTCATTATTATCAATCATTTCTTTTCGATATATTGATACGGTATTTTATTTTTTTATTCAATATATTGATACGGTATTAACAAATTGAAACTTATCAGCTAACAACTAGGATAAATAGGCTAAATGAAGATTAAACAATAATCAACTTAGTACCCAAGTAAAAATTATTTATTAAAATATTTACTGATTATAGTTTTGGCTCTAAGGCCATTTTCAAAATATTTTGCTTTTGGAGAGTTTGCTCTCCTCCTCACTCAGTCCTCAGTCCACATACGGAACCATCCAGAGCACGCCACATTACAATCAGTATAGATCAATGAACCTTAGATTCGTAATTTTAACCTTCGTTTTACGGCCACTTATGAATCTCTTCGACAAAAACTGATTGCATTTTTGGATTCAGCGTTAAAATACTGTAAGTAGACATCTAAAAAGTACATGATATCGCGTTGTAGATATAAGGTATCAAATAATTACCTTTATTTTATTGAACAGAATTTTACCTTCATTCTATATTTTTCATTATCAGCAAGTTTGGTTGGTTAGGTTATGACAGTAACTGCCGGTCGCCTAGGCCTAATCCACGTCCGGTTACTGGACGCATATCCTCTGTTAACTTATTTCCTTAGCAACAGTGCCTCTTTAACACGTAGGCCTAACTTAGAGTAAAAAAATCGATAAGTTAGTTCTCCAATATTTTTTTTATCAATCTGAATATTGATATCAAAGGATCGATGGCTAAACACTATCTCTGACTTCGTAAGGGAAGTGGATTCAGCCTTTCCTGCTGCTTAAGATCAAGTTGTGTTTATTATATAAGGTACCTATATTAGTCCTGCCCTAATCAGCCATGTTTCAAGTTCAGAGTTCCCATACCGGTACACAATTTGTAATTCTGAAAACAGGATTGTTTGACCATGTGTGGGAATAAAATGAGATGAGGGATGAAACATGATTTTTTTACTCTAAAGATTTAACACTAAATACCAAAACCCTACCCAGGCTGACGCTAACCGAAACCCCCGGTCTGTAAGACCCAATGACGAGGATCACAGTTCTCTTCATTGACTCTTCATTACTTATGAAGAGCTGGATATCAACTTCTTTTGATAATAAATTTTCCACTGGCTGGGATGAAATACCAATGCCAATAATTAAGCAGGGTCGTCTATATATATTATTACCATTACTAGGCTACATGTTATAAACTCTTCTTTTATCTCTGGAATTTTCCCCGAAAAATTAAAAAAATCAAAAATTAAACCTTGTTATAAAAATGGTAACCCAGAAGAAGTGTGTAATTACAGACCTATCTCATTGTTATGCTCATTTTCAAAAATTTTTGAGCGAGTTGTGCATATACAACTTTCAAAATACTTAGAGGAAAATAATTTAATAGATAAGGAACAATATGGTTTTAGAGAAGGAAGGTCCGTGATTGACGCAGGAGTCGATTTCTATGAATCTATAATTAATTCAATTGATTCAAAGGAAAAAGTAGTGGGAATATTCTTAGACTTAACAAAAGCCTTTGATAGTGTCTCACATGATTTACTTCTTGAAAAACTTAAATATAACGGTGTAAAAGGGAGAGCTTGGCGTTGGTTTGAATCTTATCTTACAGGCAGACAGCAGTATGTCACGATTGATCACATAAATAGCCATAATCAATTAATTACTTACACTTCCTCAACGAGAATTGTTAAGTATGGTGTCCCTCAAGGATCAATATTGGGACCCTTATTATTCTTAATTTACTTAACAGACTTCCCCTCATTGATAGAATCTCCCAATCGTGTTTGTTTATTTGCTGATGACATCAATATAAAAATATCCGGAAATTCAAATGCTGATGTGGAAGTCTCTTCTTTTGTTGAGCTTACCAAATGTAACCAATATTAAAATGAAATCATTTTATTACCGAATACAATAAATAAACTAATTATATAAATTTTTCTTCAACGAGCAAAAATTCACCTGAGTTTAATATTTTTATGGATACAATTTTACTAAATGAAGTTAAAACATTAAAATTTCTTGGATTGCATATAGATGATAAATTCAACTGGGACAGTCATGTTGAAAACGTTTGTAATAAAGTCAACTCAGGCATACATGCGTTAAGACATATGTCAAAATTTAGTAGTTTAAAAACCTTAAAAATAGTATATTATTCCTTAATTGAATCACATATTTCTTTTGGGTTGTGTCTTTATGGGGGCACATCAAATTTTAACCTAAATAGCATTCTGGAACTTCAAAAAAAAAAGCAATTCGCATTATGTTAAAACTAAAGTCAAAAACATCCGCAAAAGAGCAGTTTAAAGAAATAGGAATTAGGACTGTTTTTAGCTTATACATTTATTAAATAGCCCTTTATATTATATCAAACCATGAAAGATTGCCAAAATTGAACTCTTTTCATAGCCTACATATTCAACCAGAAAAGGTAATGAATTGGCGTTCAACAGACATAATTTATCGGTTTATGAAAAAATTCCATCTTATAGTGGTGTTAAATATTTCAATAGCTTACCTGACAATATAAAAAATATAAGTAACTTAATTTTAATTCATTTAAAAAACGTTTGAAATTATTTTTTACCAACAGACCCTTGTATAAATTGGAAGATTTTTTTCCAACTTCCTGAAATTTGATTTTTTTATAATAACAATGTTCTTTGTAAGTAGTCTTAAGTTTAATATTGTGTTTTTATAACTGACTCCATTCTGTACAAAATGTGCAATATGAATAAAGTTATTTTGATTGATTGATTGATTGATTGACCCCATTTGAAAATAATGGACCCCGCTTAGAAACACACAAACCGAAACCTTGGGCCTGTGAGACCACGCTTTAAAATACACTAATGCTGGGCTTCTGTGACTGGCATGTTATGAATAGACAACCTGTCAAGGTCACGGCACCCACGCAAAATAAACAAAAAATATATCAACAGGTAGGGGAGGAAAAGGGGGGAAGGTATTGAGGGAATGGAATCCCCCAAGTAAACAGTGTTGCTAACAGGCGTTTGTAAAAATTCCTGTGGGCCTGTCAGACTGGAATTCGGTATTAGTGTTGAGCTAATAGGCTCTAGGCCTATTTTATTTCTTATATCTTACCGCTTTCCCAGATTTAAATGAACTACCGGTACCTAAGTTACTGGTGCTATAACCTAACTTCAAATAATTAAATTAGCCTATTCTAGCACAGCATCATAACTTAGCTAGGTTTACAGAGCAAACTTAACTTAGCCTATTTAGGCCTAAGCTTATACATGATAGGCTAAGTTTTACCATCTTAAAGATCACTCAGGATAGCCTAGCCTAGAACGGGAAAACTCATGTGAGATAAAACAGGATTTTTAATCCTGACCCGGTAAGCAAGATTTTCTTGGTAAGTTTGTGTAAGTTCAGAGACACTGTTCAAATTATTTGTTAGAGAAATTAAGGCCTTAGAATAACAGCAAACTTTGAAGTAGTTAAGCCTATAATATAGCTTACCTCTTCATTTAGTATTTTTCTAATTTTTCGAGTCTCAATAGAATTAATCGACTTGTTCACTTCCTTCATTTTAAAAGATAACTTAGGCTAAATTAAAAATTCAATATTTTCAGTCCTGGTGCACAGTGAATTGAAGCTGTATTCAAGTGTCTTAATTCTTAACTTATTCCGTTAATTCTTGGTAAATGAATTATGTTGTCATCCTTACTCATTGATTTCATTAATTTAATTCGCTAAAATAAACCAATGCATAGCGTAGGCTTGGTGGCAAAGTCTTGATTGAATAAAGTAGCCTCTACATGTTATTTTCAGTTATGGTGTAGTAGGGATAGTGACTCATGCATTCGTAATAATAGAGCCATCACTTTGAGTATAATAATAGTATTGTTTTCTTAAAATGAAACTAATTTATATCTTATCGTCGGTTAAAAATTAAAACAACAATAGAAATTGACATTTAAGGTTAGGTTGATCCTACCAGTCAAATCAAACCAAAACCACAGAAACCCGGTATTTACTCAGGGGAGGTATAGATGAGCCTACGATGACAGCTATGAGCTGTGGGCTTCTTATTAGCTGAGGGAACACCATTACCGTAACAATACCAATACTATACGCAGCCATCAGGTCCGTGAAGTTAGCCCCCCCCATAAAAGCACTAACAATTAAACTAGTATTAATGGTTAGTGCTTCGTTAGTGCTGGTTAGTGCTTCAACTCCCATCGTTAGTGCTCTTACGGTTCAGGAGCTATAACCGAAAAACTGTGGGGGGGGGCCAACTTCACGGAAGTTAGCCCCCCCCAGTAGTAATATGTGAGCACTAACTTTTAAAACTGTACCAACGGTTAGTGCTTCGTTAGTGCTGGTTAGTAGTGCTTCAACTCCCATCGTTAGTGCTCTTACGGTTCAGGAGCTATAACTGAAAAACTGTGGGGGGGCCAACTTCACGGAAGTTGGCCCCCCCCATAAAAGCACTAACAATTAAACTAGTATTAATGGTTAGTGCTTCGTTAGTGCTGGTTAGTGCTTTAACTCCCATCGTTAGTGCTCTTACGGTTCAGGAGCTATAAGCGAAAAACTGTGGGGGGCCAACTTCACGGAAGTTAGCCCCCCCCAGTAGTAATATGTGAGCACTAACTTTTAAAACTGTACCAACGGTTAGTGCTTCGTTAGTGCTGGTTAGTGCTTCAACTCCCATCGTTAGTGCTCTTACGGTTCAGGAGCTATAACTGAAAAACTGTGGGGGGGCCAACTTCACGGAAGTTGGCCCCCCCCATAAAAGCACTAACAATTAAACTAGTATTAATGGTTAGTGCTTCGTTAGTGCTGGTTAGTGCTTTAACTCCCATCGTTAGTGCTCTTACGGTTCAGGAGCTATAAGCGAAAAACTGTGGGGGGCCAACTTCACGGAAGTTAGCCCCCCCCAGTAGTAATATGTGAGCACTAACTTTTAAAACTGTACCAACGGTTAGTGCTTCGTTAGTGCTGGTTAGTGCTTCAACTCCCATCGTTAGTGCTCTTACGGTTCAGGAGCTATAACCGAAAAACTGTGGGGGGGGGCCAACTTCACGGAAGTTGGCCCCCCCCCCATAAAAGCACTAACAATTAAACTAGTATTAATGGTTAGTGCTGGTTAGTGCTTCGTTAGTGCTGGTTAGTGTTTCAACTCCCATCGTTAGTGCTCTTACGGTTCAGGAGCTATAACCGAAAAACTGGGGGGGCTAACTTCCCCCCCCAGTTTTTCGGTTATAGCTCCTGAACCGTAAGAACACTAACGATGGGAGTTGAAGCACTAACCAGCACTAACGAAGCACTAACCGTTGGTACAGTTTTAAAAGTTAGTGCTCACATATTACTACTGGGGGGGGGCTAACTTCCGTGAAGTTGGCCCCCCCACAGTTTTTCGCTTATAGCTCCTGAACCGTAAGAGCACTAACGATGGGAGTTAAAGCACTAACCAGCACTAACGAAGCACTAACCATTAATACTAGTTTAATTGTGAGTGCTTTTATTGGGGGGGCCAACTTCCGTGAAGTTGGCCCCCCCCCACAGTTTTTCGGTTATAGCTCCTGAACCGTAAGAGCACTAACGATGGGAGTTGAAGCACTAACCAGCACTAACGAAGCACTAACCGTTGGTACAGTTTTAAAAGTTAGTGCTCACATATTACTACTGGGGGGGGCTAACTTCCGTGAAGTTGGCCCCCCCCCCACAGTTTTGCGGTTATAGCTCCTGAACCGTAAGAGCACTAACGATGGGAGTTGAAGCACTAACCAGCACTAACGAAGCACTAACCATTATACTAGTTTAATTGTTAGTGCTTTTATGGGGGGGGCTAACTTCACGGACCTGCAGCCATCGGCCTCGGTGGTCTAGTGGTTAGCGTGCCGGGCTGATATACTGAAGGTCCCAAGTTCGAATCCCGCTAGAAGCATACTAACTTTTTTTTCGAGATCTGTTCATTATCAGCAAGTTTGGTTGGTTTGGTTCGGTCATGACAGTTTAATTTTATTATTAAGTCATTATAAAATTGTAATTGAGCAATTTCTAGTTTTATTTAATTAACAGAATTATTTTTTCTATTAGTAATTTTTTTTAATATTATTTCATAATCAGCAAGTTTGGTTAGTTCGGTTAGGTTATGATAGTTTAATTTTATAATTAAAGAATTATAAAATTGAATTTGAGGCATTTATAATTTTATTTTATGAACAGAACTATTTTTGCGATTAGTAACCCTTCATTGCCAAGGTGCTCTCTACTACAGCGCTGTCCATGGAGGAATTTTGAACTAATGCCTCATTCGTACCTCCCCTAAGTCAGACCCCAGAAACCCCAGTTGTTGCTTTTTGCTAGTAGTTTTTTGATGAGCATCTAAGCAGCCAGTGCAACTCCGAGGATCGTGGATCAGATCTGAAAACCCCCCACCACCGCTCCGTGCCGATGGCGTGACGTCAACGATTACCGCAACGATACGGAGCTATGTCATGAGCCGTGAAGTGGATAGCGTGTCGGACTAATAATCGAAAAGTGCCGGGTTCGAATCCCGCTGGAGCACTAACTTTTTTTCGAGATCTGTTCATTATCAGCAAGTTTGGTTGGTTTGGTTAGGTTATGACAGTTTAATTTTATAATTATAAAATTGAATTTGTGAAATTTATAATTTTATTTTTAGAACAGAACTATTTGGTTGCACTAACTTTTTGTCAAAATTTTTTTTCATATCAACAAGTTTGATTGGTTTGGTTAGGTTATGACAGTTTAATTTCATCATTAAAAATTATAAAATTTAATTTGAGACATTTATAATTGTATTTTTAGAACAGAACTATTTTTTTGATTAGTAAACCTTCATTCGAGTTTTTCATTATCAGCAAGTTTGGTTAGGTTATGACAGTTTAATTATTTTTAATTTAAATTTAACAATTTAGAGATAGAGAACAATTTTCCTTGAACAGTTAGGCTATGCTGATGTGCCAGCATGATTCGGAAGCGTACGACATGGTGCGGTGGTGGGGGGTGATCTGATCCACGATCCTCGGAGTTGCACTGGCAGTCTAGACGCTAGTTTTGTTTTGGGCCTAGATTCAGCTAGCAAAGCGACCCATCGCCGTCATGCATTCTACGAAACGTATTTTCCGGGAAAAAAGTGCAGGCGCCAGGCAGGATTGTTGTGTACGTAACTTCTTAACCACTCTCTCTCTAAATATATATATATTAGCCTAATATATAGATTTAGAAGCTACATAGACAACAATCCTGCCTATATTTATCCTAATAAATCCTAGTATCTTCAGTGGTATCTATAATATTAAAACGAAACAGTGTTTTTTTATTTCACGATTCTGAATCAAATCAACCACTCGACGGATTTTCATGATTTTTGTGTTGAAAGAAAGATAATTTTGAGAACTAGGGAATGTCGAAGCCATAATTTTAGTTTAGGGTCCCAGCTTTTTAGAAATTAAGTTTTAATTTTTAAAAAGTCTAGCAGCCGACGCTAAGATTCTAACTAAACTAGCTTTTGGCATAAAATAATTTGCTTAACATAACAGCTGTAAACATTCAGCTTTTGTGTCACAAATTCAGCATTTGGATAAAAATGTAAAGACATACTTAGGGTTGACTTATTTATACTATGTGTAATGCTAATCATTGATACGTTCAATTCTTCTGTAAGAGGATGACAGATTAATTAAATATACATAGTAAAATACTAGGATGTTCAAATTAATTTTTAAAGCAATCTTTGTAATCTTCGATTTGTTTTAGAGCAATATAATTTGTTTTAACTAACAGCTGGTTAAATATAAACTATGGAACTATAAGATTATTTTATTTACTCTTATTTTGCCATTGGTTATAGGAAATAAGTAAGATTAGTATAGACAAAGATTACATATGCATATGTAATCTTTGGTATAGATAATTAGACCACAGTTTAAAATAATTTAGACCAAAATTAATTAAACCACATTACAAATCGAGGCTCTGTACACGAGTCTTAATAAAAAAGGATAAATGCAAATTATTTTACTGCTCCACTTTTCAAGGAAAGAATAGAAAAATAACAATGTTTACATGTTTTAATTCTTCATGGTAGCTTTTTGTTTACAATTAATATTTGTCTGCTTTAACTTTGTTTGGATTATGCCCGGAAATATTGATGTCATAAAAAGAAGATCAATAATAATCAAGAATCACGATTTTAAATTACCACCACAACCTCAGCCGGGTTTTATACAAAGATAAACAGATGGATGACATAGATGGAACACATTGACCTAGGATACTGCAATTAGACAAACCATTCTTTAAATCGTGTTCAGTTGTGGTTACGTTTGGGGGTGCCTATATCAGCGCCCCCAAACGTGAAAATATCACTTTTATTTCAACTACGAATGTAGTTTAAATTAACTAATATGGGAAATTACGATGTACAATTTATTCAATGAGGGTGGGTAATTATCAAGGATAGAACTGATAACGGTATGGATAATAAACATTGAAAATTACGTCATTAGCTTTACTAGCGTGTTTACTTTTTATATTCCTGCTACATGTTACCGGTGGGGCACACGGAAGATTTCTCAGGTGCCGTTTGACGTCACTAACTGCTGACGTGACTAACTGCTGCGTCTGAAGAAACAGACAATTTTATAATTTTCTATTATTAAATTAAACTGTCATAACCTAACCAAACTAACCAAACGTGCTGATAACGGAAAAATCGAATAAAGGTTTACTAATCTAAAAAATAGTTTTGTTCATAAAATAAAATTATAATTGCCTAAAATTCAATTTTATAATTTTTTAATTATAAAATTAAACTGTAATAACCTAACCAAACCAACCAAACTTGCTGATATGAAAAAATTGTTGATAAAAAGTTAGTGCCGCCGGCGGGATTCGAACCCGGATCATTCGAATTACCAGCCCGCAACGCTATCCACTGCACCA